TCAAAGCGTCAATGTACCGTCAAAAAAATCTTCATTATTGTTTATTTAATTCTAACAAATAAGTTCTTGTTTAAAAACTAACCAAAATTTTAAATATTTTGCTTATAATTTCTGCACAGGAGAGACTTGGTGCTGTTTCCAAACAAAAGGAAATATATCGGTATATATCGGCCAAAATAAGTTGAAAAATATCGGCATATCGGATATCGGCAAAAATCCAATATCGTGCATCCCTAATATATATATATATATATATATATTATACAAAGAATTGAAAGGTTCCATTGATATTAAAGGTTCTTTATGGAACCGTTGATGCAACTAAACAACCTTTATTTTTTAAGAGTGCAGCAGTTGCAACACCAAATAAAGTACATGATCATAAACAGAATGACTTTAAACTACAGCATAATGTAAAAGCATTAAGCATATTATTATTCATGCTTTAGTGCACATATGCAATGCGAGCAATCAAACATGATAATGGAGATGAAATGATATGATTAATGGATAGTATGAATACAGATTTACCTGATCAGGAGTGGCGGTTTTGCCAGTGCCAATGGCCCACACTGGCTCATATGCTATAACCACATGAGTCCAGTCCTTCACATTGTCTATAAAATACAGAAATTCATCATGGTATTTAGTGTTTCAAATGCATGAACAGGGTCCTAGAACATAATGTTAAAATCACATATTTGATATCAGATTTGTGTTTTTAAAAGACCTGCAATGACTTTAGTCTGTTCAAACACCACGTCCTCAGTGGTTCCAGCTTCTCTCTCCTCTAGTTTCTCCCCAATGCAGGTGATCACACCCAAATCGTTCTCTAGGCAATGGGCCACTTTCTGGCCAATCAGCTGCAAAGGACATCACAGCCAATCAGAGTGAAACAGAGCTGAATGCGGAATAGCACAAGATATGCATCAATACGAGGCCTGAATTTCAACACACAGAAAAGCAAAGACGTAAAAGAGCTTGGATTCCTATTAAAATACCTCATCGCTCTCGCCAAACACGTGACGCCTCTCAGAATGGCCCAGAATGACCCAGTCGACACCGCAGTCTTTAATCATCGCTGGGCTAAAGCGGAGAAGAAAAGGAGAGAACAAGAAATATGGTTTTAGAGTTTTGACAGTGATAAATGGTTGTTCATAAAAACTATAAAAGATACAAATGAGCACATATACCTGATCTCCCCAGTGAAGGCTCCTTTGGGTACCTTATAGCAGTTCTGGGCGGCCACACCGATCCTCTGGTCCAGCTTAGACCTCACATAATCAAGATAAATGGCTGGTGCTCCACACACCACCTCTAAACAATGAAGACAAAACCACTGTTATGATGATATATGATTATGAAAGCCAGATTGACCACTTTTAAATGAATAGTTCACCCCAAAACCAAACATCTGTCATCATTTACTCACCCTCATGTCATAGTTTTAGTGTGAAATATTTCTTCTTTTATTATTATTACTTTTTTACTACCTCTGAATTTGTTAAGATATTTTTCTCCAAGTAGAATGGGAACAAATTATGGAAGCCTGTTTCTGCCACGGAATTAAAAAAAATAATAATTCTCAGAATTCCAAGTTTACAACTCGCAAATCTGTGTATATCTTGCAATTCTGACATTTTTATACGAGTTCCGAGTTTTCATCTCATAATCCTGTGTTTTAGTTTCCGCCATGGAACTTTGCAACATTTTTATCTTGCAGTTTTTATCTCGACTTGCACATTGTTCAGACTTTTCTTCTTAGAATTGCGAGTTTATAGCCAAGTCAAAAAGAAATCATAAATCAGATATAAACTGAATTGTGAGTTGCAATAAAAAAAAATCTGAATTGTGAGGGGGAAAAAAAGTTGCAATTACCGCTTTTTATTTTATTTTTTTTTTATCCTGTGGTGGAAATGGGCTTCTATAGCAAATTATTTGGCAAACATTTTTCAATGCATTTTTTATGCATGTAGGACAAATATAGAGTCCGTAGGACCGAAAAATTTCAATTAATAATGAAGCTTTCTACAGCAGGCCTATGAAAAATGTGCTGCTTATGAACAATAATACATTTTTTGAGTGAATTATTATTATTGACTACCTCTGAATCTATTTTCCCCAGGTAGAATGGGAAAAATAATTTGGCTTACGATTATTTTACACATATGGGACAAATATTTGAACAATTATTTAGCTAGTAAGTTGTATTTTTATGTAATTGTTATGCATATGTGACAAATATAGGATATATGGGACAGGACAAATATAGTGTCTGTAGGACCAAAAATTCTAAATTAATAATGAAGCTTCCTACAGCAGGCCAATGAAAAAAATGTTTGCGTTTCCTATGAAAAATAATATGTGACTGTGATGACATGGAATAATAAAACAAAATCAAATGAGCTAGATTCATATTGAAGTTATTTGAATGTAAAAGCAGTTCAAACACGACTGGTAGGTTAAATTGAAAAACTAGCATACTTTCAGCTTAATATCCTTTCAAGTAAACAACATAACTTCAAATGAACGCAATGGACCTGTTTCATCGTTGAGACTGGCCGTGTTCAAGGTCATTATGAGCTCGCCCAAACTCTCTTTATCGCCGTTCATTTTCCAGTTTCCACCGACGAAGAATTTTCTTGAAGACATTATTGCGAGACAAACCGAACGGACCAAACACGCCGACTGCAGTATAATCGATCCCGTTAGAGAACTTAAGAATCCTACTATGGAGAAGGTTAGTTTATAAATATTCAATGAGGAAGCGCTTTGGCATTGGAAGATTGCGCGTCAGGACGACGTAATTAATATTCATGAGATAATGCCACGCCATGAGAGTAACGTCACGTCGGCGCAATCTAATTAACATGCAAGCACTCAGCTTTCGCTAGGAAATCAACTGCATTGAACGTAAGCTTATATTATTAATAATAATAATTAATCTTTGTGAGCTAAACGTTGCGAATGATGAGCAGTCATAGAGGCTATCTCTTATAATCCGTTTACTAAAAGTTGCATAGAATGACTATAATGATAGTAAGCATGGACAAAGTTTAAAAAAATAATTTCTGTGCCAAAAATCTTACTTCCGGGTTCGTACAAGTTTCAGTTTTTTTTCGATCGTGGCTCTTAATGACGTAAAAGAGGGTGGAACTCCTTATATGGGCATTTCTCCCGGAAGAACGCGCCCGTGCATGCATAATGAGAAATGGATTTTAAAATAATTTACAGTGAGGCCCAAAAACATGAGATCACTACGGAAATTGCTTCTATTTTGCATTTACATTATCTAGGTTATCCAGCATTATTTGAGAATGTTTCAAAGACCATTTTGTGCTTCAGCTGAAGCAAGTAAGCTGACCTTTAACAATACAAAGGAGTTCACATGGTCAGTGGCATTTTTCTTTCATTTGTTTGTTTTATGTGTTTAATGTCATTTTCCAGCACACAGCTTTCCCTAGAAATGGAATCAATACCGTATCATTCTTTTTAATAATAATTAATTATTTACACTGTAAAGTGTTTTAATGCCATTGCGAATGCTTTTGTACTTAGTGTGCCAATATTATGTGGCTTACATTATATTACTCAGTGCATTGCAGTTCACTTTGTAATGCACCTTTTACAATGCATATTGTTCTGAAACAGCGTTATATGTCATATATAGTCTTCTTTCTTATTTCACAGCCAAAGCAGAGTCGCAGACTTCATCAAGAATAGGAACTTGCCAATTACTTGTCTGACGTTTCTCTGTGCAAAGCTCTATTGAAAGTGGGTTAGAGTAAGTCTCACGTCCTCCTTCTTAAGCGAAAGAAAAAAACAACTGTCTGATCTACTTTCTCAAGGTGACTGAGTTTGCAGTAGGTGATAATATACTTAAAGGGATTAGGTTTACAATGTGACTTCACAATAGAACTAAAAGCCTCTGACTTGAGACTTGGTTAGTAAATTGCCATATGAACATTAATTCTGACCTGGATGACTAAACATTTGTAGACACTTCGTGTGGGCTGATGTTGCATAGCAATGTAGCACAAACATAGTTCTGTGGCCTAATTTACATTTCAGACATTAGATTTCCTTTCCAATAATATTTTCTTCTGTCATAGATTCTTTAGTGCAAAAGTGCCCAATGCAAACTTTTCTGTCATTTGCACAACAAAATAATTTATTCTGTTATGAAAGAAAAAGTAGCAGTGCTAAGATCAGCATTGTTTCAAATTATGTTATTAATTATTTCAAATACCCTAAAATCATAAAACACGCAGATACAAACAGCACACACTAAAATATTGTTTAATGCAGAACACTATGTTTATTAGAAAGGTATTCGAGTAACCACAGCAATATTTAAGAGGAACTGTCTTGTACGTGAAAGTCCTACAAAAAGATGAAAGAAGTAAATACAGACATTTAATCTTTTAGCATAACTTGACATTTTTTGGACTTTGGGAACTTGTTAAAAATTTAAATACTGTATGCCAGGTTAAATTTGTCACCGTTATTAAAGAGCCATAATATCAGATCTCAGACAGTCAGTGTGGTTGTTGGGAAAAGTCACTGTACATTTTCTTCTGCATTCTATTGTCATTTCTAATAAATAAAAATATTTATCCAAACTTTTATCTAATGATAAGAATTTTTATCTGACAAAAAATTATGTAATAATATATTTTAAATTCTTAAATGATTATTAATTTTCCTCATTTTAAACAGTCAAAAACACTATCATTTCAAGTCAAAGTATCGTTGTCATGAGATTGTCATGTTATGATAACATTAATGCAGTCTTGTGTTAGTTGCAACTTACATTTTTACAATTAAATATTGCATTTATACTAATGAAATCCAGTCTTCCAGAAATCCCACACATACAGGTGGACCATTGCGTGTTTTTGTGTGTGAGATTCTCTGTTGCTTAGAAATTGATAATTTCTCATCCTCTCTCAACATTTACTCATCCTTTCTTTCTCATTCTCATTCTCATTCTCATTCTCATTCTCATTCTCATCTTGTCTCAGGGTCCAACTCAATTCCAAATCTTCAAGAAGCTGTCCCATGAGCCAGTGCAAACACACATGCCATCTCCTGGTACTCCAGTGCAGCTCACCCTGTTGTCATGGCCAGACAACACGCCTACAGAAGAGAAAGGAAGGAAGTAAGTGAGAGTATGAATTTGACAGCGCTTTGTTTTTTTTATGCACATTTATTTAATTTGCAATGAAATGGAAGTAGCTAGCGACTGATCTACTGTATTGTGACACAAAGCCGAGTACCATGGCTTATTGAAAACGAAAAAAGGATGATTTTATGTATAGGTTGTTGATTGGATGTTGAGATGTTGCTGTTGCATTCAAAAGTGGAGGCAGATGATCACAAGCTCGCAACGGCAGGGTTTAAATGAACTAAATGATAGGAGAAGACCTCCTTACATCACCAGAAAGAAGTCTGACACTTCCATTGGAAGATCAAGTTATGACATTTTGATTAAATATTACAAGGTGCAAAAAAAAAAAAAAAAACGTATTGGATGGATGAATTGCTCAAAATCTGATGGATTTAGAAAATAAATATGGTGAATTTTCATTTCATTCCAACTTTAAAGGAATAGTTCACCCAAAAATTAATTTTGCTGAAAATATACTCACCCTCAGGCCATCCAATATGTACATGGGTTTGTTTCTTCATAGAAACAGATTTGGAGAAATGTAGCATTACATCACTTGCTCAGCAATGGATCCTCTGCAGTGAATGGGTGCCGTCAGAATGAGAGTCCAAACAGCTGATAAAAACATCACGATAATCCACAAATAATCCACACGACCATCAATTAATGTCTCATGAAGTGAAAAGCAGCGAGTTTGTAAGAAACAAATCCATCAATGAGGAGTTTTAACTTGAATCCATCACTTCTGACCAAAATATGAGTCCATAATTCATAAAAACACTTAATCCAGTGAAAAAGTCCATCCCTTTTGTCCTCTCACATCAAAATCCACAAACATATTTGTTTAGAACAGTTTTGGACTGTTTTTGCTTGTAAATTGTGCCTGAGCTGTGCATATTTCTCTCCTGATTCAGACTTTTTCACCGGAGAAAGCAATATTATGGATCGACGAGGACTCATATTTTAGCCAGAAGCAATGGTTTAAAGTTAAAATACCTTAAAGGGTTAGTTCATCCAAAAATGAAAATTAGGCTGTGTTTTACTCACCCCCAGTTCCGGGCGGATGAGGTATGAGTTCAGTGCTGCGCATGCACCGGTGAGTCTCGTGAAAACCAACGTTTGTTAACAGGAGCAAAGGAAGCAAAGTTTCCTTACTTTAGCAAAGGAAAACCAGTCTCCTCTTGGCTTATATCGAAATCCTCTGACATTCTTCTTTACAAATCCTCGTTTTGTACTTCTAATTCTTGACCGTTGTTTTGATTTGATCTCTCTGCTGCATTTCCGCATTCGTCATTTCTGAGCGGCGCATGCGCAGTGCTGACCTCATACGTCATTCCCCTGGAACTGCTTCTGTTTACAACAGTGAGCGCAAGCTAGATTCAAGTGATTATTACGTTTTGAATATGGATATTTTTCTTACAAAAACGCATCGATTCGCTATAGGAGGCCTTTGTTTACCCCACGGAGCCGTGTGAGACACTTTTTTTTTATGGATGGGCGCTTTTTATTTCACTTCTTTTGGACTGAAGCACTGCAACACCCGCTGACTGCAATGATAGAGCTTGGAATAGCCAGGACAATTTTTAATATAACTCCAACTGGATTCATCTGAAAGAAGAAAGTCATATACACCTAGGATGCCTCGGGGGTGAGTAAAACACAGCCTAATTTTCATTTTTGGGTGAACTAACCCTTTAATGACAGATTTGTTTCTTACAAACATACAACTTTTCACTTCACAAGATGGTAATTGATGACTGGAGTGGTGTGGATTACTTGTGGATTATTGTGATGTTTTTATCAGATGTTTGGACTCTGACGGCACCCCATTCACTGCAGGGGATCCACTGGTGAGCAAGTGATGGAATGCTAAATTTCTCACACCAACACCAACATAAACTAACACCAACGCTATATCATATCCCTGCTAGAAGAGTGTTTTATTACTCAGAAATTGGCTACATACATAAATACATAAAAAGCTGCTCAGTGGAGTTGCCAAGATGGCTGTCGAGTGATTTGACTTGCTTAAAATGGACTTTGTTCCTGCTTAATCAGCATTCTCTCCAACTCAGACTTTTTTTTTTCTCTTTCAACTCACCCACTTTCTCGCCCTTTAGCGAGTCCCAAATATTGCAGTTGAAGTCGTCATAGCCAGCAAAGATGAGGCGGCCAGACGCGGATAGATCCAGTGATGTTACGCCGCTGTTCAGTGCGGCATCCTGGTAACTGATCACTTCTTGATCGGCGCGAATATCATACATTTTGCATGTGCAGTCATCCGAGCCAGTGATAATTGCATTGCCACTAGGGTAGAACTGAAGAAAGAGGAAGTTTGGTGAATCCATTTCCATTTATGTGCTTTGCTCTTAAATTAAATCGGAAAGACTCAAATCTTTGAAACTGTTAGAAGGTTAGCATAATCAGTGTGGTTAGCCAAAAAATAACTGTGATTTTTCCCATGTTCAACTCACTGAAATGGCGTTGATGTCACTAGTGTGACCCTGGAAGGTTTGCTTGCACTGGCCATCCCTGATGTCCCACAGCTTGGCCAGAGAGTCGCAAGCACCAGAAACAAAGGAGTTCATGTCCGGAGACAGAGACAGACACATGCAATCACCAACATGGTTCAGGAAAACAGTCTTCTGCTTTCCAGTCTCCAAATCCCACAATACACTGGCAGAAAAATGGGAGGGAAATGAACAAAACTCTAACAAAAGACAATGAGTGGTGCTTTCTGGTTGGTCTCAATAGGCAGTTGCTGGTCCCTAGACGTTTATGGGATTTTTTTTAGACGTTTATGGGATTTATGCTTTACTAGACTGCAAGTAACTTAATATAAAGTAAAATCACAACTCTCCTCAACAAGCTGCATAGCATTGTGAAAAAGCTCCAACCTTATCTAATAATAATGGAGATGCTTGCTGTACTTCTAGTCTAGCTAGACTTTGTGAGATGACAGTGGCACCATTTAACTTACATTTTTAGTTGAAGGTATTTTTTTAATGGATATGTTAATCAATTTCTTGGCTAAAAGAAAGTTGTAGCACATTATTCCCTGATAAACCTAAACACAAGTATGCTATGATGTTCAATTTGCATGTGAGTATCATCCAGTTATTTTTGTATTTTAATACAATATTTATTATTTGTCAGGTTGATCAAATAATGAGTCCAGAAAGTGATAAAAATTGAAAAAATAAAATAGATACATAATGATTGCGTCTGCTACTTTTATCGTACTGGAAATCAAGTTGAGCGCATTGCATTGTGGGACAGTTTTTCACATGATGTGTGTATGTTTTTTTTATATTGCACGTTTTAGCAAATATAGCATGCAAACTATATACTGGATGAATATTAAGAATAGTATAGTATATTGCAAACATAGCCTTGTTGTAACTATTTTACAACTATTTCTTAATCAGAACTTAAATCGGTCTGATTCCTGAATGAATCATTTAGGCCGTTTTGTGAACTGAATCAACTGAATTAAACATAACTATTTCATGAACTCTCATGAATGTGCCTAGAAGTGCTGAGATGTCAGTCAACTTCACATTAAGCTCGTATGGATGACTTTTATGGTACATTCATGGTGGTTTTTTGTTGCCATTTTCATTCAGTTTAATTTTATTGAAAATAGTGGCTAAGAAAAAAAAAGTAATACTAAAAAGTTAAAAGTTTGTAACAAAATTAATTTTGATATTTGGAGGAACTAATATGAAAATACACAAACCATGTGGTATCACCAGAGGAGGTTAGAATCTCTGTGTCACTGAGGAAGCGTGCACAGGACAAGTAACCTATGAAGAATAGATAACATAACAGGCATTTACTTACAAATATGCAAGAAAGTATAGATTCTCCACTGATTTCAATACTTCTATACCTGTATGAGCATCTAATTCTTTCACGGTCTTGATTACAGGTGTCTTCAAGTTGTAGACTGTACACATGTTGTCGAGACCACCGCTGGCCACAAGGTTTCCAGAAGGAGCATATGCACAGGTCATCACCCATGAGGACTTGAGGGGAACAGCATTGACCTACAGAAAGAGGAAAATATTATAACTTTTCCCTGAAGGTATTCTGATTTAAAGTTTAAAGGAGAAGTATGTCATTTCCACACAATCAAATGTAATTGCATAATAATCACAGATTTTTCAAAGATGTTTACCAGGTTTTGTTGCTTAAAAAGATGAACAGCATCAAAAACTGACAGCACCGCATTGACCCAGTGGGTGGGTGAATTTGTGTGTGAAATGTCATGATTCATCAATAACTTTAGTACTAAAATTTGTTCTAAATGTACAAAAACTTAAGGAAAAACTGTAACCACATGCATGAGAAAAATCACATACTCTGGGTGGAATTATAAACGTGTTCAGATCAAATTTTATACATAGATATTTATTATATACTTCGATACCCATCTTCTCTTAAAAGTATATCACCTTATTTCCAGTGTGAGAATCCCAGATGAGAAGTTTGCCATCCTGTGATGCACTGACCATTAGCCTAAAGTCACCAATGAAAAGCTGGTAAGACAACGGGATGTACCATTTCATATATTCATATATGAATATATTTCATATATTCCACCCCTCGTCGTATTTAATGTAAACAGAACTTTACAGACAATTGCCGTGAGTGCATGACATTTTTTCCCCCCATATTTTGTTATGTTTGGCTTGCGAAAGCAGCCTTAACAACATGTGTAAGCTAGCTAAATTTATTTAGATTTTTTGGATTCTAACAATTGCAACAATAATGTGTTTAAATTCTAATGGATTCCAAAATAGTATATGTATGTGTATATATATATATTTATTTGACCCTCTAACTCTAGCACTTTGTATTCTATTTTAATTCTACTTTATCCATTTATCTTCTTTTTACTAAAAAAAAATATATTTTTTTCTATTCTACTTGTTTTTCTTTGTGTGTGTGTATATATATATATATATATAACTCAAACAAGAGTTTCAAGAGGCATAGGCGGAGTTTCACTTTTATGCGGGGGGGTGCTACGTGTACTGCGTTAGGCTAACCGAGACTTGTCATTTGCACTTATATATTGTTGCTCTTTTGTTAGTTTTGACTGCTTTTATTGTCCTCGTTTGTAAGTCGCTTTGGATAAAAGCGTCTTCTAAATGACTAAATGTGCAAAAAAAAAATAAAAATAAATAAAAAAATATATATATATGTGTATGTATATATATGTGTGTGTATGTGTGTGTGTATGTCTTCATATATGTAGGTATATATGCTTTTTGGAGCTATTTGATTTTGCTGTCAAAGCAGTTTCATAAATACAGTGAGGCTTAAGTCTTTTTCAGGCCACTGACCCTGATAATTGATCTAACTAAGAATTAGCTAATTCAAGGTGACCACAAGGTGCAGTTGACATCCCTGTGAGAGCTATTAACCTGCTTGAGCAGATCATGTGACAGCAAAGGGCAACAGGTAAACCAATGGAATTCGTGGAATACCTTTCTGTTAATTTGTTTCCCCCCTTGAATTTACTTTTGAAGGCCAAACTGATAATTGATCAATATTACCTAATATTTATATAGAGCAGTATAACTCAGCACACCTAATGAATTGATTTGACCCGTACTGTTGTTCTCACCTGTTGTCTGTACACCAGTGCATGGCATAGATTTTGGCCAGATGGCCTTTGAGGGTCCTCCTGGTCTTGAGTTGGACCCGAGGGGCCGGAGCCACCCCAGAAGCGGCGGAGGCCATGTCTGTGTCATGTGCTGCTTTACGAGCTGCCTAGTAGGGGAACAAATATTTTATATTAGCATATTATTATTATTTATATAAATAGAAACTGAACAGCTGATGCATTTTAGTGTAGCAAAGATCTTATAACTATGTTCTTTAACTGTTTCATTGTGAAAGTACATCAAATATTTAAGAACTTTACAGCAGTCTCACCTCAATCTGTGTCTTCAGGGCTTCGGCCTCCTTTTTCATCTGCTCCATTTCACCCATGGCTGCTGTTGATCGGGGTTCAACACAAGCTGAAAGCAATCAGAGAATAAAGATAAAAATTAAATCAAAATTAAATATTCTGCTTAAAAAATGGTCCTACACTCTTAAAAATAAAGGTGCTTCACGATGCCATAGAATAACTTTTTTGTCTAAATGGTTCCATAAAGAACCTTTAACATCTGAAGAACCTTTCTGTTTCACAAAGGGTTCTTTGTGGCAAAAGAAGGTTCTTCAGATTATAAAAAGGTAAGAAAGAGATGGTTCTTTAAAGAACCTTTGACTGAATGGTTCTTTGTGGAACCAAAAATGGTTCTTCTATGGCATCGCTTGAAGAACCTTTTGAAGCACCTTTATTTTTAAGAGTGTATATGTAATCAAATAAACATAAATAAATCAATAAATAATATGACTAGGATTGAACTAGGCCTTGTGTGTGACTATTACAGCCAGCGTTGCCAAGACAGAACAGGGCTACAGACAGAACTGCACTGTTGCTGCAGGATTTTTTTTTTTTTTTTTATCCACTACCCACCAGAAACGTGGAATACCCCTGAATTTCGATGGAGGAGAAAACACAATTGGGCTAGTTTTGGACTAGTTTTTTTTTTTTTTTTTTTTTTTTTTTTTTTTTTTTGTGTAGCAACTGAGGTGGTTTTATTTCAGAGACCTGGCAACCCTGATTACAGCATCAGACATGTGGAAGAGATTTAATAATATCGACGATTTATAATTTGACCTAATATTGACGAATATTTAAACCTGCCTTTGATTTGATGCAAAACCTCCCAGCCAGTCATAAAACATCTCAGTGGACAACAATTAGTCCTGAACTTTGCACGTAATATCTCAGAAAGCAAGTTCTTCATACCTGCTTGGTAGACAGTAACACTGAATATAGATTTGCACTCAAAAAAAAAAAAAAAATTAACGGTGAACAACAACATTGTCTGCCATTTATGAGTTCAGCTTGAGTTCAGTAATGCTAGCTAGCAAATGCGAATGATACTGTGACTCTGTTATTTAAAATTCAAATTCTACATTTCAAATTCTGTTATTGATATTCAAAAAAAAAATCCAAATTCAGAACCTAGCACCAAACTACTAAATCAGACCTTCAAAACTCAAACAGTCCTATTCAAGCCTTATTATAAAGTCAAATATATGTGCAATTTATGAAACAAGGCAAATAAAAAAGTGCAAATCTGTATAATAAGACACGTGGAACCAAAACTAATCTAACCTTAGTCCTAAACATGGCAAACATAGACTTGGTAATCTGTAATTGAATGTCAAATCAAACGTCTGAGATCTGTAATCTGCTTAAAATAAAATATTTCAAATGTTTTATGCAGATGTAAATCTTCCAAGTCGCAACTTACTATAAAAATGTCTGTCGCTCGTCTACCGCCGTATAATTTTTACCTCTCTGTGGGAGGCCAGAGGATATGATGAGGAATTATCAGCATTGTTGTGTTACAGAGATCCTAATGAACTTAATTGGAGGTTAAGTAGTAGAGCCTGGTGCTAGAAACCATGATCCGCAAAAGTGAGTCTTGCATTGTGCTGTTGATGATCAAATTATATGTTATAATAGTTAGAAGATTACACTGTGATCTGTGTTCAGCTCGGGATGAGAGCTGTTGTTTTATTGATGTCGAGGAGGGCTAGAAGAAATGTCTAAGCCCCTGCAGGAGCGGTCGGAGGTGGCTTATCAAATCTCCTGTCATCCGATTACCGACTGCTCTTTACTACGGGATCAGGTGGGACCTGAGGTGAGGAGATCAAAGACAAAGACAAAAAAGGGCAAGAAAGGACATGTGTTGTATGTCGTGATATATCTCGTATGTTGTGATCTTCCATACATATGTGTTGGATTGTACATGGAAGTTCATCGAGATGAAATGAGACATGATAAATCTCAAGATTTCGAAGGTCTTTTTGATTACATGCTCAAGAGTAGCTAGCATTAGGTTCATCCTACAAAGAGCCAAATGTGAGAACTTTGCAAGTTGACATTATGATATGTTTAGAAACGAAAACAACAGTGCTAAAATGTTTTTTTTCGAAGTTTGAATATTATTGGAGTACAAGAAAATACTATTTCACTCTTTCTACCAGTGTTATTTTAGTGTTAAATCAGATACTTTTTTGTAAATATTTTGAATTAAATTTTATTTTATATTTTTGTTTCTTAGATTGTATAGATTGTTTCTACAACTTATTTTTTTCAGTGTACAGGAATGCATCAATATAGGAGACAAAAAAAAAGATTACTACAACCTCAAATTCCTCATGAAAGTGCTGGGTGCATTTTTTTTTTTTTTTTTGATGGTCGAAATACCAACATTAACAGCCCAATGTCATTTTAAGCATTATTAAAGTTGCAGATTAACCTTTCGTGATCATGTGAACTACTTCTGGGATATCAATAGGCAAAAACAAAGTGCCAAAAAATAGACAAAAAAATTAAAAAGCATTTATCTGTGCATTCCTGTGCATGCATACTAAATAAAAAAAATGCATTTAAAGATTCAGATTTATTGTAATGCACAAGGTTTGCATTTGTTCGCTATTTGCAGTGCATTACATCGCTGCATGATTTTTTTTATGCAAACTAATCAATGACCAAACTAACAACAAACTCACCTTTCTACCGTTCTCTATAACTCCAGAGTCTCTCTCTTTCTGTACCAGTTTCTATTTTGTTTAGTCCACAAGACAGTTCAATTCTCTCTCTCTCTCTCTGTGCCTCCCACAGGTTCCCCCAACAGACTGGATGCAACTTACCTGTGGAAAAACTCTCTTTCTCTTCCCTGTCTGCAAGAGAGGAACAGATGAGGATTGGAGGGGATGAAGGAGATCAGGGATGAAAGGATAAGCCCAAAGATAGGCACAGAAAGGGTAAGGGAGAGAGAGAGAGAGAGAGAGAGAGAGAGAGAGAGAGAGAGAGAGGGAAAGGGGAGGGCGAGGAACAGGTAAACCGATGGAATGGAAAATCAGGTTATGGGGTCGAAAGACAAGGCGAGAGTGAGCGCAGAAAGCAGAGGACAGAGGAAGTGATGGATACGGTGTGGCATGAACAAAAATATGGTTGATTCCTGAAGAACATCTTATCATGAAGTTCTCAACGTTGGTTCTAACAGCCATTTTGGAGTAATATGGGCATTTAACCCTTGTGCGCTCCTCATTTGGGAGTCACACTCATGGTCTCCGCGGTCAAAAGTGACCGGACACCTGAAATGTAACTTTTCTTCAGTAAAATCAATCTAAAATATTTTTGTTCAATAATATTTTTTCTTTAGTATTTTGACAGAATTTTATGGTACTAATTAATATTTATACAATAATTATGATAAATTTTTCCCATTGAAAATTGTAAAAAACAAACAAAAAAAATTATTATTTTATTATTTTTAAATTAATGCAGTATTTCAGATTAAAATAGAGACTAGGCCTTTAAAATCCAATTTTTGAAAACAGAATAGCACCTCCTGGTGAGAGCAAAAGAAAAAAGAAAAACCTGTAATTTCATGGTGTAACCACAAGATTCCTGTATAGGACACTATAGAGAGGCGTGTGAATTCCCTAGTTGTTTTTATACATAATTGTTTACTTTTATTAGGTTGTGGATTTAAATGTATATTAAAGCATTCTCAACGACTACTTTTTGTCAAGGTTTATATGTTGCTAAGGTTATAAGGTTTTTTGTTGTTTTAAATGTTGATTTGAAGTGTAGGTTTTTGCATTATTATTACTACATTCTTATCTGAACACAGTAAGCATTTTGTTACACAAAACATTAAAATTCTATAAAAATGTAACAAAAATTAACAGGAATGCTTTATCAGAGCTTAATCCTTCTGGGTCTGATCTGATTTTAACCTCTTATTTCAGTCTTCTGACTCATTTTGGCTATATGGTTATAGCCATACCAATTCATTTGAGTATGTATAATTCTGTATATGTGTGTCTGTGAGTGTATGAAACTGTTTTACACTCTTGATGTTTTAGAGTGTAACCCCTTCCTTGCTGTCCACTTTTTTTTTACTGCATTGTAGTTTAATTATTGATTTTATTTTACATAGTTGCAGTGTTACAGTCACACCAGTTCATGGGTGTGTGTGTGTATGTGTACAAGTGTGTGTCTGCGTGTGTGTGAGTTGGTGTGTTGATTTTGCACTCTAGATGTTTTAGAGTTTCACCCCTTCATTGCTTGGCCATTTTTTTCTGATTTTTTCCCATTTCCCATTAATTTCCTATGGTCGGTCATTTTTGACTGAAGACCATGAGTGTCACTTTTTTTTTTTACGACCACTTAGCTTTTTCGAATCATGCCTTGTGTTCACATACCAAGTGCCATAAAAGTCACAAAGTTTCGTACCATTCTGGTGAAGCTACGATTTTTAAAAATTCAAAATGTAAAATTCTCCGGTCAGAAGTGACCGAAGACCGCACAGCAATTCACACTTGTTTTATCGCATTTCACCGATGTTAACACTAGACATGTTGTTTCTAAAAGGGTCATTGGTGTGGTTTGGTGAATGCTTGATAGGAGGGGGCCTGTTCTTTGGCTTTGTGGTTGAGGGGTTTGAATTGGTTTGTCAGAGCTAATGAGTTGAGCTCGTCTAATCAGGTTCTAAGTGGATATCCGGGGAATCGGCAATCCCGTTAAGGAATTAGAGCAGGTGTATCCGTGGAGCAGACGTCACGGGTGACACAAAGAGCAATGGAGCAAGGAAAGTGAGGAAACTGATGAAAGTTATGATTATAAGACAGTGATTTTCTCATTATGATAATGGACAATGTTGGTTTTATATTTGATCCTGTTTGATATCTTATATTTCCCAACTTTGAGGGAAGAATAGGAAAGAATAATGAGATTTGTTTTATTGTTAGTCCAATGGTTCAATAGCATTCAGAAGCAACAATTAACCTATATCCTAAACCTAGAATATATTTTTCCGATATGGTAACTGTGCCAAATGAACCTTGAAGTATAGCACTGATGAGTTCAGTGTGTTTTAAACCTGAAATAATGTTTGCAACAACAGATATTGACAATAAAACCCTATCCTGGACCATTCTCTAAAGAGCTAATGGATCTAATTTACAAGGTAAACATGCCAAGAAGGGTTTATCTTCTCAAGCCGTGTTGTAGGTAACTGCCAGTCTATGGCACTGGAGCCATTTTCCCTTAAAACCCTCCTAACAGCGAATTCATTTGAGACTAGTCTATTCATTTGAGACTTGTCTATTATTTTTGACAGTTTGAGAAGAATAGAAACTCATAGTTTCATTGCAAGGATATGCACAAGAAAGCATGGCTATTACTGTTGCACATACAGTACTTATAGGGTTAGATTTCAACAAACCTTGAAGTATTAAACTACGGCATATACATGAGTGAATGAAACATCAAATCATGCAGCTTTTCTAAGATATTTTATAAAAATAAAAAAAACATTTACCTTTTTTTTGTTACGTGAAGGTTACATTAAAACTGTCTTGGAAATTTTTTACTTGTTTTTCATTATTATTTATTTATTTTTAAAAATAAATTCATGTATGTTTTATTGTTTAACCTTGTCCCAACTTTTCACTCTTTAAAATTATTCAAAAAGTGTAAGTATAAATATTTTTTGCATAGTTTTATGGTCATGATTATGAGTAAAAATGTACAAAAAGTACGAAAATATTATTTCATTCTGTGTATTTAGAATGCATAGAATGCTAGCTAAAATTAGCTTCAGTAATTAGGCTATTTTACTCCAAAAATATTTAAAATGTCATTTTCACCACAGGATTTTATCAAGCACAATATAATTGGAAATTATATTTATTCATAAATAAATAATAAACAGTGATAGTGTGAAATCTGTGTTTTAAGAGTTTATTTCCACAGGAACATAGTTAAAGAAACACCCATAGATAAAATGATGTAAAGTGATTGGTCTCATAACTGTAACTGCAGCCTGATTGAGGCCACTTGAGAAAGATTTACCAACTTGAATTAGTGACCTTCCTGTGCTAATTTACCGACAGGTATGACCTCATGATGCTCCTGGAAACTGTCAGGGATTGGTGATGAATAACACAAATGCACCTCAGGGAGCTGCTTCATCTGTGAATAGCGCTGGTTAGTAATGCTCTTTTCTTTTTTTTGCTTGAAGTGATTTAAAGTACATTTATTACAGTTCATGTAGAGGAGCCTGACATTATAATGAACCACTTTCGTGAAACACCCCCTCTGGGATTTAAGCTGCCAACCTTTAAATTACTGGGTCTTTAACCACTAGGTCACACCCCCCACAAAAGGTCTCCTGTGACTGTTCCATTGTAGGCTGAACAATAATAAAGATGAGTCAGAAAACAGGAAGTAGGTGGAGAACTTATAGAGAACAATCTTCAACTTAATAACACTGCAGTACTTCTTGTGCTGTAAATTGACCATATCTGCTTAATTTATCTGAATAATTACCATCACTGGGAAATGTATGATACAGCAACTTGAACAGACAAAAAACTAAAGAATTGTATGTTATTATACCTACACAATCGTATTAAATACCATGCACCAGAAGGTAACAGCGTATGTGATCGACCAGATAATACAGAATATATTTTGAATTCCCTGCTCAAGGGACTGGTATTCACAAGCTGATAG